GGACTGCACAGTGGTGGAAAACCGATCTGTAAATAACAGACACATGTGTTTGAAACTGAGGCCTGTATTTCATCCCACGCCCGCAATGAGTGGGAGTACACCACTCCACTCCGACGTCAAATTGTCTCATCCAGTGTTGTATGACAATCATGCAGTAATAGCACCAAAATGGCTCTTCAAATGCGAGTGCACAGGGAAGGGAGTATTGCGGGGCTCTGCCATCGCATGTTTCTGATTATTTGAGATGGGGGCCTGCATAGTGTCATGTCTAATTATCTGACTGAGCTACAGCTTGTCGGGCCAGTTGGAGAGAGCGGCTAGCTGGCTGAAAGGATTGGTAGCCAAGTGGCTGGCTGACCCGTTGACTCGAGAAGTGTGGCTCCTACAATACAAATGGGGTAAACAGAGTACTTTGAGAGGGAGAGTCCTTGACCTCTGTTGACATAAGACCTCAGCTGGAAGATGAGAGTCCATTTTACTTTGTTTGGCCCAAGTGGAGGTAACCTCCAAGTGACAGACAGGCATAGCACTGCCACTGTGCCAGTATTGTGTCCTGTGACTTTGCTTACTGCCCTTGAGCGGCCACTACATCCAGTTCATTTCCAGTGGGAGATCACTGCTCTCCTTATTTTTGTCTGAGACATGGGTCTTTTCGGGGTACATGTTGCATGCAGGATGAACTTGTCATCTTCTGTTTTACATTATCTTCTCCTTTGTGGTTTTATTTTGCACATTAGTGAGGTACATGCAGTGTTTTTTGGGAAGTGCAACACTCGTCTTGATAAAAGCAGCGCGGCCTCCGTATTGCACAGCAAGTTTGGGTAATGAGTATAAACTCGGTTCACCCTCAGTTCAGTTGAGAAACACATTTATTTGGATATTAACAGAGCATTTGTTCTTAATCTTTGGTGAGCTTCATCATGCTGGCTTTGGAAAAAAAATATACTTCTTAAATTAAAGCTAATTTGAATTGACCAATTATTGGTCCGTACTAAAAATTCCTTCCTTTGCCAAGTTTGGAAATGCATCATACAGATGTGACTGCATCTGTTTACAGTCATAATGTCAGTGAAACTACAATTATGTTGTGATCATTTGGCTTGAGAGTGGTGTGAAGCAGTTGGCAGACATGCAGTGTTAAAAGGGATCCTCCCTGTATTGAAGAGGGAATTACGCCCATTATTCACACATGCTGATCCCGGCCAGGAGCCTGAATAAAGTGATTCATATATGAATCCATTCCAGTGAAATGCAACCCTGTTTGTATTTTTTGTTGTTGTTTTTTTTACAGTAATGACCCTGGCCTTAATTGGCACACAACATGTGGACTGCTGGTCAAATCCTCACATTAATATAAGGGATTAGAAAGTTACAGCACTTTGTCTTTTTTAGCCACTTGGCAGCAAGACAAACATCTTATTAACATCACATGGTGAGCAGTTGCTTATTTATGCATCAGCAGTGTATGGATCAACAACTTCATTTATTTGAAGGGGTGTGTTGATGAATATAGGTCAGATATTCACTCTGTTTAGCTCTGTTTTTGGTCTCTACCAGCTCCTCAGGGAAAGACCTGGTTGTTAGCAGCTAAATGTTTGTGTTCATCAGCTAGTCACTTAACAGTTTACTGCTGAGAAGTTGGTATACATTGGCTTTTTAGAGCTTCGTGCTACGGCCGAAAATGACACTGTGAGAGTGAACCAGAACACTGGAGTTGAACCTGACAGCTACATGCCCCCTGTGGGTGGGGGCGCTCTCATCCTGGAGAAGACCACTCATTCATTCAGTTTTCCTTTCCTTTATTCGGGGTTTCCTTTAATTTGTCACTGTAGACAAATGTACACACAACAGGGTAAACTGCCGTAGTCATGTGTTTGTCATCACTCATTCTAGTCATGTTTGCTTGTATTTATGCAAATGCCAAAGGTACATTTCACGGTGAGACAGGTAAGCTAGCTACAGTAGATTTTGAGAAAAGCTAATGCAGTTAAAATATTTGAACCCCAGACTGTATATAAAGATGGACGACGTGGCGACTTCCAGAAGTGAAGTTGATCGCCCCCTGGTGGCTGGTTACAATATAGGTTATATTGGTAGCTGCCCCCTCCATGTTAGTGGATGGGACATGAACGAAACTAAAAATTCTAAATACACAAATTCAAAATACAAATCAAATACATTGTGATTTCTGTTTTTTGTAGCTCTTATCCTGCTGATCTGTATACAAGTGGGCATTTTTCTTACAAGTTATTTCATTATATAAACATGGTCTGTTTAGATGATTGACAGCTTTGACTAAGCAGCCTGATATAGCGGCTCCACCTCTGGTTGCTATTGTGCAGAATCTGGTTGCATCACATTAGTAAGATGGCCGCTCCCGTGTTCATATTTTGGCTTCACTTTGGCATTGTGGCAGGAAGTGGTGGTGCGTCTACAGCAACAAGCGTCAGGTGCCAGTGATTGTGGTAGAAGTTTAAAAAAAAAAAAGAAACCTTAAAAAGTGAATGATTTCAATGTTAGCATCAAAAATCTATTAATGTACTATTTACTCAAATTTTTAGCCCAAGTTTAGCCAGTTGGATGTGTGTTGAAATGCCAAGTGATGGCTTTTTGCTGCGTGGCAGAGTGCGGTCTAGAAAGTGAGTTTGTGAAAGGACACGGTGTTGAGAAATGGGACAATGTGCAGGAAGCCTTAAGCGTTCACACAGAATCCTTTTAGCTGTCACTCAGTGTTCCTGAGCAGCAGATTAGACCGAGTTGGCCCTGAGAGAGAGGGCATGCTTGGACAGCACCTGACATGACAGGCTACTTAACCATCTCCATTAGAGCCAATGAGAGCTGAGAAAAAGCAGACCGCCTCATTCTCCAAATTGGTGCCAGTGGGGTCAAGTTGCAGGAATATGTCAATTACTTAAATTGATCAGGAGACGGTTTCCTTGATAACCAATTTGATCAAGCTGCCGATCGTGTTACACGTGTTGCGCTACACGGGCACCAAACAGGACGTCTCAGAAATTGGTAACAACACACGCAAAGGGCTAAAGGCAATTTCCTCTGCGAGAGGCGTTCAGTTTCGTCATGTCAGGTGGTGGACGGGGCTGCAGCCAGGGCCTGTAAACAATGGCGTTTCAGTTGATTTAATTAGGCAGGGAGGAAGTATTTAGGGGCTTAATTGAGATTGCAGTGGGAAATTGCTCTAAAATAGGTCCTTTTTTTTTTTCTCCTCTCTTCACAGTGGACATGACGAGGGATTTCACTCTTCTCTTTGTAGATAATTTGAATAACCATAATCACTCCCTGGATGGCCTGTGATTGGATTGGAAATATGGAGAGTGTGTGTGTGCTCCTTACACGAGTGTGGAAGTATACACACATGCATTCACGAGGGTCTTTCTTCTAAACGTGCTCCTCTGTGCCTCCGATGGGCAGCATTGCTCCTTGTTTCTGCCAAAAAAAAAACCATTCATTAGTTTCAGCTTCTTAAATTTGAACATTTACATGTTTCCTTAGTCTTCTGTGATCGTACACCTAATGTTTGTTGGACAAAACAAGACATTTGAAGATGTCGGCTTGGATTTTGGGAGATTGTGACGGGCCATTGTAAACATTTTTTGCCATTTCACAGACTAAATAACTAATTGGTTAGTTAAGAAAAAAATTACTGGTTGATCTATAATGAACAAAATGTTTCACGTCTGCTGTTTTTCATCATTGGTTTATTGATTCTGATGTTATTGGCTAAAGGTTATTGAATGCTGCAAGACATTTTTTTCTGCAGTGACATCTTTGTCTAGAGGGATTTTCACATCTTTTAATAGTTTCATTTAATTAAGTTTATATTTTTCTTTTTTATTATTATTAATTGCATTTTCAATAAATAACCTGGGCTCCATGTGTTTAGTATCAGTGCTGCTTTAAATTGTGTCCCTACCAACGTGAACTTGAACAGTCACATTAAACTTAATGAAGAATGAAAATTTTTCTGTCCACTTCTTCTGAAATTGTCATTGCTCCAGGTTGACCTTTTTCGTCAAGACCCTACCCTCACATTTGCTCATTTATAGGCTCTATGCTACAAGTCAAAGGTTTGTGGGCACCTCTGTGTTTCCAGTAGTTATCAGTGTAATTCAACAGGTGAACACACTTGTGTCCTTCTTTCTACAACTAAAATCAGACACTGTCGGGACAGACGGCAAGAAGTTCCCACAGATGTGCTGCACCTGTAGCTGCTTTGCTTTCATTATCCATCTAGAAAGTCTGGACGCCATGCTGTCGTTCCATTGCGTGAAGCCGACTGTCTTGTTCTTTCCTTCTACACAGCCTGGAGGTGTTTTTGGATCATTATCTTGCTATAGAATAAAACCCTGAGAAGCTCTGACTTCCTGTGTTAATGGCCTTTTTCCAAATGATGCTTCAGAGGGTGCAGTAACACTGTCTTTTCCAACACTGCCCTTGTACAGAGAGAATGTGTTGCTCGGAATACGTGTAGGAATTGTTTACATCAGTTTTCCAGGCTTCATGTACTTCCATGCATTTTAATGCAGCTGTAGGCAGCTACAGGTGTTTAATAATGCTTTTAACATCACATGTGGAGGCTGCTATGTAAGCAGATAATGAATGACCCTATAGTAAAACACACCGAACAGTGCTTATGAACACTAAATAAGGACTTAAAGTGTTAGCTACACGGTGACAGGTCAGAGTGGTGTTGGCTGAAGTGTTCATGTTGATGAGCAGTTAGGCAGGTTTGCTAAATGTGAAATAAAACAGGCCGTTTTTATGCTTCAGTTTTGGTGCTTAACTAGAAAATGTACACTGGGGAAAAATCTAAATGGGAAAAATGTGTTTCCAATATTTTGTCCACCCTACTTATAACAGTGATGATAGAAAAAGTCAGACAAAGAATAAAAAAGCTTTTTTTATGGTCTTAGTGTTGCAGGTTGTTGCTGTTTGAGGAGGAATTGGTTTTGACTGACAGCTGATTGTTCCTTCCTGACCAGGCGTTCGGCTTCATGTCCCGGGTGGCTCTGCAGGCGGAGAAGATGAACCATCACCCAGAATGGTTCAATGTCTATAATAAGGTAATAACTGTCCCCACATTGTGGTTCGTATCACACTTTGTCATAGGCACCACAGCTTGTAGAATCAGACAGTGTTTTCACAGCTGCATGTTTGAGTAACCGCCATATTTACAGCACTACAATTAGTTTATAACAAATGACAGGCACGCCGAGATCAATCCACCCTGGATCAAGGCAGATTTTTTCATGTCAAACAATCCTTGCTGCTTCTGGAGAGGCCTCCGCTCACAGCCTGCACCACACTCCGTTAGGCAGAGCGACAGTAGCTTCAGGCTGTAATCCCATCATTTTTCTTGTGAAAAGCTCTGCAAATACCCCCCACAGCCCCAACACTCTCTCACTGTCTTGACCACAGAAATAAAGCAGTGGTTGATATGACAAACCCAGTCCCTGATGATCTCCCAGTATTAGGCTATAGCCACTGTGAGTGCGTGTGTTGTGGAGCGGGCGGCTCTGAGAGGAATGCTGCTTCTAATCCACTCTTTATTAAAGTGGCTGGAGAACAGAGCCACAGGTCTCTGGGCCCCCACTGCACTTTCCACCAGGCATTTGCACATAAATCTCACTCTGACTGAGGTTCAGCCTCAACAAATTCAATGCTGTGTGTTGAGCTACTGATGATATGATCATTTAGGCAGCTTCTGTTTTTGTGGCTCTCAGTATTGAAATTTGAGCTTGTAAACATGTTTCTGAACTTCAGCTGCTCCCCAGAGAGAGGTCTCCTGAATTTATCACCATTACTGCCTCAGTTGCCAGTGTGTTAGGTACACCTGCATGGCACCATGGATGGATTATAAGAAGGGCCCCCCACTGCTTGTAGGGCCTTCAGTTGCTTTGTGTGTCTTTATAGTTGTTTTAAAACAACAATACCTACAACAATAATCCTTGTGGTTTTCGGGGGAGTTCAATGCTCTAACAACTTCACTATCTAAAGTTGACAATTAGAAAACTTTCACTCAGAAAATGTTTAGATTTTCCCATAAATGTTTAACTCAGTAAGATTATTTGTGGTAAAACCTTAATTATAACAATCAACATTAATGACATTAATCAATTAACATCCTTTTTTTTCTGCTTGGCCAGCAATTGTTGCTTTGTGACTTTGACGAATGCTTGCGTGTCCTCACAGGTCCAGATCACACTGACGACACACGACTGCGGCGGCCTGTCAAAACGAGACATAAAAATGGCCAAGTTTATCGACAAAATTGCATCCTCCATGTAATATTTGTCTTTAATCTGAAAGCTTAATTTCTCCTTACGTTTTTCTAATTCCTCTGCTTTTGATAATGTATTTTTTGTATCTCCCGTTGATCCACAGGTCTTTGTCTCAAATAAAATATGTGAGATATTCTATTTTGATGATTGTGTTTTGTTCACAGTACATTTTGCTCACACTTTTCAGACTGTGTTGTTTCTGAGTGATATACAATGGTATAACCCTGCACTAACTCTTGAATCAGATGGACTTTCTAAGGCTTTATAGTAAACCTTGCTTTGTGGTTTAGATTCAGATTCCCCTCACTAACTGATTGCGGAAGAGTTCGCTTCATTGTATGTGTCAATGTGTGGTTTTCTTGTTTTCAGCAGTTTTATTTTCACACATGGAATTAGAGTGGAGTGTAATTGCCCTGTATTGCTCTGTCTGGTACTTACCAGTGATCCTGAGGATACTTCTTTTTTCTGTCAGGCCTTCACCAGACCACATGTTCTCCTCTTGGAGTGAAGCAAAATGAGCAAGAGGTCAGAGTCGGTAGGAAAGGTATTTGTTTGATTTATAGTTAGGTAAGGGATGAGTCAGCTAGGGCTGCTGTGGTTTCTTCACTAGATCGCCTTTAGGACAAGATCAGCAAAGAGAAAAGGGTGCAATAAAAGCCAAATCAGTAGGAGAGTGCTCATGCTGCCAGCCCCTTGCAAAATGCCTCTTTTGTTGTCACTCCTTGTGCTCTGTGCTTTGATGCTGGAGAAGGAAAGGTAATAAATGATACTCTTCTTTACCTTAAGATTTTTCAGGTAGTGGTATGTGCAGAATACATCTGATGGATGGTTGTTGTTGCACAGGGCAAATCTGAATCTGTAGATTGAGTGACTATGACCATACCTGGTCAGCCTTTCCTTTCTGGGTGTAAACACACATTTGTTTATACATAGTATGTTCAGACCTGTTGCACCTAAAGTTCACCACTGTGGAGAATACAGTTATTATTCTTACTGAGCTGTAGATGAGATCAATGCTATTCTCATTTCTGTACAAATGAATCAACCAGTTAGCTTCGCTTAAAGCCTGGAAATGGGGACTTGTGGCTCAAAGGTAAAACGGCACCTCTAAAGCTCACTAGCACATTATATTGTGTCTGTTTACTCGGTACAAAAACCAAAGTGTACAAAAGACAAGTTGCATTGTTATGTGGTGGACTACTTCTCAGACTGCCTCAGTAAGCAAATCCGAGCAGGAGCTTATTTATATAGTACTTTTATAAACAACAAAAAGTGTTTTACAAGAATCAAAAGAAAACAAATACAAAACACTGAGCATACAAAAATAAGAAAATAATGATTGGAGCAAACAACAATATAGAACAGAAACAACAAATAACAGAAGAGGGAATAAAAGTCAGGCCAAAGGCCCCCGTGAGGAGCTGGGCTCAAACACCTGCATGAATGAATAATCCTTAAACCGAGAACGAAAGACCCCCAGATCAGAAGCCAACCAGACATCCATGGGAAGCATATTCCATATTTTGAGAACAGCCACCGTGAATTCCTGGTCTCTAGTATACTTAAGTCTCAGTCTGGGGGTGACCAAGAGCAAGCGATTAGAAGATATACAAAGTCTAATCAGTGCATAAGAGTGTAAAAGCTCTGAAATATAGGTAGATGCTAAACCGTATAATGCTTTAAAAAAATAAAATCTTTCCATGTTTTCCTGCTTTTCAGTTGACCTCTCATTCAGTTAAATCATGTGGAAGAGATGGGGTATGGTATCTGTCAGTAACTCATGAAAGTCTACATCACCTACACCTGGATGTTGCTGCTGAAATTCAGTTCATCTGTTTCTTTTAGACATCAGCTAATGTTGTAACTTGAATCTTAAGAGTTAAAGATGATGTGTTTTCATTAGATCATATAATTTGTCAAATTCTCACAGTGTGTTGCCTTTTGCTGTGAAGGTCACACACATGTTGGTCAAATTGAATCACATGGCCAATGTTAGGATATATATCATGCTGCAGTGATGGCTTGTGAGTGTTTAACCCCTGTTCATTCGTCAGTCAAGTTCTGACCAAAATTAGACAAACATTGCATCTGTTGTCTATTAAACGTCAGCCTCGCTATGAAACTGCTTTTTGTGCAGGAAGACAACTGCAAGGCTGGAAGCGTTTATCAGACAGTACAAGTCATTTTAATGTAACTAAAGCAGGCTGCGTCTTTCTGTGCTGTTCTGTACATCTCATTTGGTGAACACATCAGTCTGACAGCACTTCATCTTCAGCAGCTCCTGTGATTTCTATGGATGTGTGTAGAAACCAGGTCAGTGGTGGTGGAAGTAGTACTTTTACTGTGAGTAAAACTGCCAAATGTAACCTCTTACATTCAGTGGTGGTTGAAGTACTCAGATTAGCACATTTCACATTAATTATATTATTATGATTATTATATATAAATATGTGTATATTATTGATTAGTGATGTAATATTGTGCACATCACATTTAGTGTTGCAGCTGGTAAAGGCTCATTTTCATCTTATGTGCTTATAAGTACTTTACTACTGGGTAGCTTGTGAATTTTTCATCAAGGATCAGTAAGGCCTTATCATTACACTATATTTTGTTTAATTAATCTCATTCTGAATAGTAACTAGTAACAAATGATCAAAACATTTTTACAATTAAAGCAAGTAAAGTACTTTTTTTGCTGAGATGTAGTGAAGTACAGTACTTGAGTAAATGTACTTAGTTACTTTCCACCTTTGCTTATGTGTTAAAAAATAATCACATTACTGTAATTCAGTACTCTGTTACTCTTATCACAAAGTTTTATTGCCCCTTAGGGTGTTGGTCTTGAATGATGGACCTTCAAGGCATAAAGTCACAGTTTCTCAGAGCCCAAGGTGACAGGTTCTAATTCTCATCCAACAAACTATCTAAATGTTCTTTTTACATTTGAATCCTCACAACTGAGGATCTGGACCCAGTGTATGTTTGGCAGTTTTCCTTGGCACATGGCTTAAATTATTATCAAATGGTAATTAATTCATTTTTGTGGATCAACTAATTGATTAGCCGCTGGGCCAACCTCTGTCCTCTTGAGAACGAGGAGGGCAGCCATTGCTACAAGGCCAAGCTGGGCCAGACCAGATGTGGCCCCTTCAGATAATTGGCCTCAGCTGATGGCCAGGAGCAGCAAGCCGCCACGCCAGCCCTCCCATTAGTAAACTCCCTGGATTGTGGGGCCTTAATCCTTTTCAGCTTCACCTACTAATTCTGCACAGCCAGCAGTCCAACCTGCACATACACAGGAAACAGACAATAGAGGGAATGAGGAAGAAAGAAGAAGCAGAGAATTGGGGGTGAGGGGGCAGGATGAGATGACTTAATGACAAAGAGAAAAAAGTGGAAAAGAACAGAGTGAAGAATTGCTGGGATGGGGCAGGTGGAGGATGCCTTCTTGTGTAGATCTTGAGATGGAAAAATAGTAATTCTCCTGACCATAAACAGCAGAAGGGAAAGGAGAGCGGTGGAGCAGGGCTTCAACACTGATTGAGAGAAGAATCTTTCTGGGCTTTTTCCACGTAGCTGCCGTTCATGATAGCAGCCCATATTTTTCCTCTAGTGTGTGAATTGCAGTTTCGCTCCCTGGCAGATGGACATGGGGGACCAGTAGTTGAAATCTGATACTGCCAAATAAAGATAGCAAGGTCATAAAAAGTCAATCTTGACTTAAGTCTGTTTTTGGAGTCTCCAGGGGAGAGTGCAGGCCAGTGTTTAGCATGTGGGCTTGTCTGTTGTGGGATTAGCTGCAGACACACCGTTGACAGCGACCACAGTGTGTGTATGATGTCAAAACATAACTACAAACTTAACATTTGTATGACATTTGTTATTTGATCAAATGGACCCTGCTAGTATAACTCCTCATGTGGTGCCGCAGTGACAACTGAATGCTCACTGACTGTTCTCTTCTGTGTGAACAGAAGCATTCTGGTCTGTTTTGCTGATAAATCTCAGTTTCACGTCGTCTTCTTCCAACTGAAAGACAAGTTTTTTAAACTTTAAGTGAAAGAAGAAAATAAGAAGCTATCTAAATAGTGTAGGCATTGTTGAAAAGACCAAGAGTCTGTAATAATGCGATCAACTCTTTGACGTTGTACAACTGCTGTAATGGTTACTATATTCACTTAGTTTAGCTGTACGGATTAGGCTGGTCATTCTCTATATTAATAGTATTTCCAGAAATTTTCATACAGCACCTAAAACCAACTGCTTCTGCTCACGGTTAATGTCTGTCAGCTGTCAGTCCTGGATCAGCTTGTTCGTTTGTGTCATAGATCTCTGTTGTTCAATAACGATTAAAAACACAACAGGGAAACACATCACAGTCCTGAGCGACAGCTTTTTTTCATTATGAAACTCCAAAGGCTCCAAACTTGATGTTTTCAGATTATTTCCTGTGCACACACATGCAAAACAGTCACATAGAAATGTATTACACATTTTATAAATTGTAGTTTGGAAAGTAAAGTAAATCAACAACATTAGATTAATGCTCATGGATCTTCACTGCATAGGGTGTTCAGTGTAGCTGCACTCTGTCACGCCATCCGCTTCAGGTAGTCACTTCCTACATCTCCCAGAATTCTTTATGTCAACAAAGTGAGTGTTTCCAAAAGAGTAACAGTTAAGCTCAGGATTTTTGTTTTTATCCCTGCACCTGGAGGTACGCAAACTGTGAACACACCACCACTGTGAGGGCATTTTAATGAGTTATGAAGTCAGATATTTAGTGTTTTTTAAATATATGAATAAATTCTGTTGAACCAGAGCCTTCATACAGTAGGATTCAGTCACGCACAGCTCTCTTTAATGTGTGTTAAGCACAGAAATGTTTCTGTGCACAGAAACATAAAAAACTAGACTAAGAAAGTCACCGCAACTTGACTCAGCACCACCTCTAATCCTAAAATGACCATCATGTGTCAGCTTTGTCAGAATTACTGTGGTACAAAGACAGAGTATAGGCAGTAATTGCATCATTTTCTCAGGACTCATATAATTATAGTAATTTATGCTGTTGTACTCGGGCTTGCAACAGCATGCACATATTGGCCAAACTGTTATCCA